CCCGTTACAACGAGCTTCGCCGAGCGGCCGAAACGAGCCTTCCCAAATCAGGTTCAACATGAACCGCTATTCTGGAACACGACTCGAGGAAATGTCGCTGATGGACCCCGCGGTCACTGCATTCAGACCCCCCCATAGGCACAGATGTGCCCACCTTCACCGATCCCTGCCTACGGATTGCCCACCCAAGCCGATGTTGGTCTACCCCAATAGGCATCGGCAGATGTTGGTCTAGCATCCCTACCGAGGCAAAGCCTGCCCACCTTGGTAGATCTTCGCCGACAGTGGTGTGTCTATCTTGGCCAACCTTGGTCAACCTTGGCCGACCTGGGTCTAGGTTGGTGTTGGTTGGAATGGCTGGACAGGTACAAACCATGTCATATTTTGAATTTGGCTAACTAGGCTTAGCTAGGCTCATTGGCCCACGTGAGTCTATGTGTGCCTAATCCAGTGGGAATACCTAGACCAACCTCGGCAGGGATGGGCAGATGGATGGGCAAGGGTCGGCAAACTGGTCTGCCTACACATCTGCCTATCAGGATCTGGCAGACCTGTGCCTATGGGGGGGTCTGAACGCAGTGGGTCACGCGGTTTCAACCTGAATCACTATGTTTGAACCGCTGGGTTTCGGTGCGTTTTTGGTTGACCGTTCGGGTCAAGCAAACGAGATTGAGCCGTGACGAAATAACAGACGTGCTTGCTCCTGCGGCCGCAGGGAGCTTGAAACTTTCCCCTGTCGTGAAAGTTTGGGATTTGCGGGAAATGATCGCAGACAATATTGATTGCTGTTCTCAACTTCAAGTATTTGTACCACACTTCCGCGCTGATGCTACTTGTAATTTTTTTTTCTCATGAAATCTGTACGCGCATTCGGGCAAATGATGTTTGGAACTCGATCATGCCTGATCATGCCGGTTGGGTCTGTCGATTTCCTTTGATCCGCGAAGATCCGCGATCGGTACCATCAATGATCCGCCGCGAGCTGCCACCGTCCTCCCTATCAGTAACGGAGAAACGACCGTCTCATTCAATTGGTTCAAGATCGTCCCCAACGAGGAAGATCAAGCGATCGATTTGGGAGTCGGCGACAACTTACCTGGTCTCGTACTTACCGCCCGGGATCCGCTGCAGTACATGCAAGGGAACCTTATAATACGAGTGAAGATAAAATGCCAATAAAATGCCCAAGATAATGGAATCAGAGCTACTTATATGGTTGCCGTTGGGGAAGCTTATTGCCAAGCCTCGCTCAGTACCCCTGGTCGCGCTTCTCCGAGTTCACCGAAGCCAGGGCTTTTGCTTACTTCCGAAGGGAGGGGCCCGTTTTGAAACGTGGTCTTTGCTCCTAACAACCTCCTGCCAGTGACTTGCTCGCCTTTGCAGCGTTTAAGACTATGACCGACATTGGCGTCGAGTGCAGAAGTCACACATCTCCACGAAGAAAGTGAGACGCGAGAGAGTGCTTCGGGAACGGAATGCTGGTTTATGATTTGACGAGTTGAGTCTCCCTATCAATCGACTGCGATTTATTTGAACGTGACGGCAGAACCATGTGGCGCCTGTTCATTGTTCCGCCTTAGGTCTCGGTAATACAAAAACTCGATCGTGTCAGTCCATCGGGCTATGTTGAAGGTGGGATATAAAGGGAGAAACTTTGAAATCGACTCGTTTTTGTCTGACATCCTCATTCGATATGACGGTGCAGTGCAGATACAGGCAATGGTATCTCCCGTATGTTGGCCGGGGCGAAACTCGATGTGGTGTGCGCAGGCAGGTTCGTAATTTGACTGGGCATGAAGCGACCCTCCCGACTCACTTGATCCTGCCGCCAAGGTGAACGCAAGATCTAAATGGGGGTCGTGTTCGCTCGTGCGTCGTGACTGCCCCGCGTTTTTACTCCTACTAACGGATGTTGAACTGGCCAATCAGGTCCCTATAATTCCTGTAAGGCCAAAACCGTTCCCCTCGAACCAGAATTGTCTGGGATCCGGACATCACTTCTTTTTCCTGGTCGTTCCTTACTGTAGGCGCTTGTATCGCCAAAATGGAACCTTGAAGCCCTTCGTCGCGTTATCCAATATCCGAGTCCACTTTGATTTGTTGATCAAGAGGCATAATGGGGTGCACCGCCGTACATTTTGGTCATACTATGACAATTTTTTCGGTACACACTGTTTTACGCGCGCCTACGACGACCCGCCCTTGAATCAGCCTCTGCTCGCCATCCCTCCCTACGCACCGCCCGAGCTCGCCGCCCAGACAACCCCGAGCCTCGACGCCTGGCCGCAAGTTTCCGCGTCACCGGTCACTCAGAGCCCTCAATTTAGGGCACGCGTCATCCATGACGCCGGCGACGCCGATGAGCCGTCGATTCCGTATCGCGCAGCCAGGAGTTGCGCATCTGGCCCGCATTCCAACGCGCACTCCCCCGCCTCCGCCCCCGTCCTGCGCACACCCACACCCACACCCACGCTGAAGCAAAATTTTGAAATTTCCTTTTTCGGCCAACTGTACTGGGAGGGCCAGACGCATACCCATATGCGTACGCTGGCACGCAGAGTCAGAGTCGGGGGGGAGAACAGGGGAGAGGGGGTGCTGAGGGAGGGGGAGATATGTACGAGTGAGCGAGGGATGGGGTGGGGCGGGGCTACAGCGGTTCATTCAGAACGCGCAAAATGGGGCACAGAGGGGGGAGAGGAAGCAGCACTGGGGGGAGTGCCAGGCGCATATGCATCCGTTGGCACGCTGAGACGCATGTATAATCCGGGGGAGCGGGGTAGCGGCGGTGAGAGGGTGGTATGTACGAGCGAACGAGAGGTGGGGTGGGGCGGGGCTTGTGTCGTCAGCGACTCATTGAGAGATGGCGAAGTGGCAGGCAAGGCGAGTGAGAGAAAGCGGCGCGTGAGCAGGGACGTGGCGTGTGGGCCGTGCTCATCGAGGTACAATGAAGAACCAGAATGAAGTAACAGAAGTACGTAGCACCGTCTCCTTCACGAGCGGCGTACATCCACTGCTGAGCCGGAGAGTGGGAAGAGGTGGAGCCCTCGCCTTTGCCCTTGCCCCAAATCCACTATCGACATCGACATTCGGCAGCCCCATCCCTGCCCCTCTCCGCCCCGCCCCGCCCCTCACAGCCTTCTCACATTCGCATGCGCATCCGCCTTCGCAACGACGCGATGCGTACACTCCGCCGCGGCGCACCTCAGCGGACAGCGGTGCGGCTCCTCGTCCGCATCCAGGTGTGGGTGTGGGTGTTGGTGTGGGTCACCAAGCGGGGAGAGCTGGGACGGGGACTGCACGAGCTGCGCGTCTGGGGCGAATCGCGTTCTAAACTGAGATTCTTGGGAAAACCGCATCAGGGCCGACGTGCCCTGTGCGGAGAAGGCGGGCACTGGCGGTGATGGGACAGCAGAAGAAGGCGGCGGCGGCGCGACCGCAGAGGACGAGCGATGTCCCGTGTGCACGGTCGTGCTCAGCGCGGTGGAGTCACGGCGCATCGGGGCCGACGTGCCCTGTGGGGAGAAGGCGGGCACTGGCGGTGATGGGACAGCAGATGGCGGCGGGACCGCAGACGACGAGCGGTGCCCCGTATGCGCGGTCGTGCTCAGCGGGGTGGAGTCGCGGCGCAGCGGCGGGCGCTCCGTGAACTCGAGCGACAGCTCGGAGAGGAGGTCCTGGTCCCCCGAGGAGGCGGGAGCAGGGGAGGACGGCGAGGCCAGCTCTGTAGATGAGTGCCCTGTGTGGACGGCCGTGCTGAGGGCGCCCATGGCGGAGTCGTGCCTGCGCGGCGGCTCCGCGCGAAAGAGCTCAAGGTCGGAGTCGGAGGGTAAGTCTGCGTCCGTGGAGAGGGCCGGGGAGCGCGCGTCTATGGAGGAGGTGGAAGCCTCAGCGTGATATGGGTCGGCCGCAGACACAGAGTACGGTACGCGCGGGGTGTGGCCGATGTTAACGGTGGTGCTTTCCGTCGTCCCTTGTCTCGTTGAAGCCGGGGAAACGGACGCGGCGGAGGAAGCCATCGAGGGGATGGAGGGCCGAGATGTGGGCTCGAACGAAGCTTTCGAATGAATGAGGTCAGTATTCATTTGGCAGTACAGCTCGAGGAGAAACGCACAGAGGTACGCTGCGACGCCTTGCGGGGGATACGTCTTCGCTGGGGCAAGAGTGAGGTACGCGTGCGCGCCTGCGATGAGTGTCTCTTCCTGGGGCTGCTTTTGCTGCTGCTCCACATGTGCGTCTGTCGGCTCCGCCTCTGAGACGTACGTAGAGTCTTGTTTGGACTCGAGGTGACTGGGGAGCGACCCGGGAACAGCAGGACCTGGGGTAAGTGTAACGTGTGCACTGATAAGGTCGTTCATGTTATCGGCCCACTCGCTCGCTGGGGTTTGCGGGAGCGCGCCCAAAGAGATCGTCGGTACCAAGTTTGGTGGGGACGCGTGCATTTTGTATCCCGGGTTTGGGGGCCAATATTCTCTGCGCGTAGAAACTTAGAATTCCGGCGAATAGGAATCAGAGCAAGGTAAAAGCAAAGCAAATGAGATCTTCGGAGACTTTCAAATCCAAGTCGATTGGCAGTCACAAAGGAAGACGATAACTCAGATGGTATTCAGCCCCCCCATCTTGACGAATAAATGAGCTCCATAAACGTGCACTTGGCCAGTGGAGCAGAAACATTATTGGGCCCGAGATCTAGAGACATGACGTCTAAAAGCGGGAGGCCGCAGGAAAACAGACGCAACTACGAGATTGATGGCATCACCAGCGCTTCCTCCTCCTGCCTCCTCCCCCAACTCTCACCTCGCACTCGATACGTCAAATTCCAGGCCCAAGGCGACAGAAACGACCTTTGAATTTCTGTCAATCTGTCTCGACAAGATTTTGGCCACATATGTACTTGGCCGAGGCAATTCAGAGCCTTTTAAGTTTTTGGCAACTTTTTGCTCAGGCTGGCGCCTCGATCTCAATTTTGCCCACATACAAAGGTACCAAAGCAAGAGGATTATTCGGACGTGGTGCACGGCGCACACCCGCTTGTGCTAATCGTTGCGCTATGTCTATAGTGATGCGGGAATCCTGGGTTCGACTCCCAGCGTCCGAATAGTCCATTGATTTGTACTTTTTTTCTTTCTTTCTTTCTATTTTTGTTTTTGTTTTTTGAAAACAACGCCTGATGCGCAGCTTTGCGCAATGGATTCAACCACCTATTATTCTACCCACTTGACATTCACCCTCACATTAATGTGCTCATGCTCAGACGCCTCCGTGTCAACCTTGGGGTAGTTCAGCTTCGCTCTCGCGGGACTTCGAAATTGTGTTCACTCAGCCCAGTGCGGAACAAGGAAAGAGCCTCGGACGTGGTGCACTGTGCACACCCGCTCGCACTGAAAGTGCTCGTGGTTATGACGCGGGAAGCCTGGGTTCGATTCCCAGCGTCCATAGTATAGCTGCCGCTTTTTCCCTTTTTCTTCTTTAAAAACAACACCCGATGCGGCGGCTTACGGATTGGATTCAACCACCTATCCTATTCTTTTGACATCCACCCTCCCTCATAATGCACTCCTACTGAGACGCCTCCGGGGACTCGGCGTTCAATTTTTTGTTCGAAATTGTGTTCACTCAACTCAGTGCGTAACAAGGAAAGAAACTCGGACGTGGTGCACGGTTGTGCTAATTCCTGAATCTGGCCAAGATAGTGATGCGGGGAGCCTGGGTTCGATTCCCAGCGTCTGAATATGCGGGTAATCAGTTCTTTTTTTCTTTTATACAACAGTTCTAACTTGCCCTCCAAGTCAGTTACAGGAATACTGATTTTCTCATTCGCCATCCCAACTCTCCTTCAAATAACATAGTTATTTTAGGACATCGCAGTGAAATACGGCCGAAACCGAACCTTCGTAGCCTGCGACTCAAGCCAGAGATTAATTCGGATGTAGTGCAAGGTGACACCCCCTCGTGATACGACGCTATTATCTAAGGTCAATAATGCGGGAAACCCGGGTTCGACTCCTGGCGTCCGAATGTCCGGTATAATAGGCCATTTTTTTTGCTCCCCGTTTCTGGGGTTATAACTTCCACGTTTCGTGCACCTCATGGAGTATCCGATATAAAGCAGAGCCTCGGATGTGGTGCACGGTGCACACACTCGCTATGTACTGCTCCTCATTCAATTACGAGAAGCTTCACGTATGATGCGGGAAGCTCGGGTTCAACTCCCGGCATCCGAATGCTCTATGACCGTCGGCTTTTTTTTTTGTGAAAAGAGCGCCCGATGCTGGGGCTTACGCATTCAATTCAACCACGCCTATTTTTTTGATACACACTCATGTCAGATCATCCTCAGCCTGCCTCTGGGAACTCGGGTTCAGCTTCATCTCTCGCGAAATTGTGTTCACGCAACTCAGTGCGGAACAAGGAAATAAACTCGGACGTGGTGCATGGTGTACACCCGCTTGTGCTGGATAGTAAAGGAAGATGCTAACGCGGGAGGCCTGGGTTCGATTCCCAGCATCTGAATATCCGGGGAATACCATTGTCTTTTTTCTTTTGTACAGTTCCAACTATTACACGAATGCTGATTTTCTCATAGGCGCCATCCCAACTCGCCACTTCTCTCTTACACACAATTTTGGCAGTGAATTACGTCGAAACGAAGGTTCGTAGCCTGCGACTTAAGCTAGAGAGTAATTCGGACGTAGCTCACGGCACACCCGCTTATGTGCTGCAATTTCGATAGCGATGTGGGCAGCCTGGGTTCGACTCCCAGCGTCCGAATATCCAGTATTTGCCCGTGATCTTCTATTTTATTTTACAATGCTTCAGCCTTGTTCAGCGTACATTTTACATCTCCTCGCTATTAGTCTCTAATCCAGACAGTTTCAGCGGGAAGCTGGTAGACTCTGCATCTAAATTCTCGTGTACTGTGGACCGCAAAGAAAACAACGCAAGGAAATTATATCAATCTAGTCGGCATTTACTCTCCAAATTTCCATCTGTTAACTAATATGAAGGATTCCCTCGAAATAAATCGCGGCTAGACGATAGAATAACATGATCTAATCCGAAGGCAGGTATAGATCAAACTACTGTACTATACTAAGGCCCTCCGGGCACCCCTGGTACCTCTTTCCGGACCAGGTACCCGTACACCAGATTTGTTTGTCAATTCTATGATATCATATTCCGAGAAACTTGAAAATGGCTCAAAGATTCCCTCGGTCCCCGCTTGCGCGTGCGCGCAAGCAGTGACCAGCTCACATCGAGCCGGCAGATGCCAGACCTGATTTGGGAATGAATACAGTGTTGAATCTTCATTGTTTGAGTTTCTACTGGAGAGGAAAGTCGCTTTCAGTAGGAATATCTTTTGGATTTAATATTGTCCTTGAATTAATGAACAGCGGGCCATGTTATTTGTGTGAGGTACGAGCTAGTCTCATTTACAGACGCTAAAACAAAATGGTGCTCATACCTCACATGTTGTACTCTGTTGTAAACATCGAGCGACTGGTGGCCGACTTATTTCAAATCACAAAACAATTCAGATGCTGGTATGCATTCCAGAAGGGGTTTTTCATGAATGCGAAGTCTCATTGGTATTTACTAGCATAAATTGAGCAAATTTTCCCAGCAAATCGCGACGGCAGAGTTGAAGAACCCCGATTCGGACTTTGATGGCCCAATGGATGGCAAATCTGGTCTTTTATTCCGCGAGAATGGAAGTTGAAAACAAAGGGTCTGAAGAGAGATTTGGGGTCTGACCTAGATTTAAATGGCCTTTGTCTCTCAAAGTTTGGGGATGGGAGTCCTTGAAGTTCTAAAAGGCATGCCAATGAGTAAATGAGTTTCTATCTACCATTTGATCGATAGAGGCGCACACCTGCGAGTGCCCGAGCGGCTCTGTTTTTGGTCCATAAAAGGATTTATCCTCGCTATTTAGTTTTTTATTGTAGGCGGTGGGTGGGGCTGAAGACGACACAGCGGGAAGAAGAGGGAAGGGCGAGTGACGATGGCCAGGTTGCAGGCACCATACATCAGTTTCGGGGGGACAGACAGGAGACAGGGGACTGGGAGAGGTTTTTGAGATATTTATTTATCTATTTAATTTCGAGAATCCCACTGATGGCATCGGGCCAGGAGGCTGAGAAAGGGTTTTTTGAGCGTACATTTAATTAATTTTGAGGATTTCGTTGATGCGATCATTTGGTCGTGATTTGGAGATTTTACAATTCGCGTCTGAGACCTGGGTCCGTTACCCGTACCAGGAACTCAGGAGAGCCGGATTATTAGGTCAGGAACCAGGAGTTTATAATTGTTCGGAGCAGTTAATTAATTATTTTCGAGAATTTCCGTGATGGGATCAGTGATGGTCGTGATTTGGAGATTCGACAATTCGCGTTTGAGACCTGGGTCCGTAACCGGTACCAGGAATTAAAATCAATTCGTCGGTCACGCGTCACGGGGTGCTTGACGTGACGAATTTTGCAACCTTGTCACGCGTCACCGAGACTCTTGACGAATATAATTTTCGCCACGATAGGTTCAAAATTTCGGTTCAGGAGCAATTTTCTTCAGCTGTGGGCACTTCCTACTCAATTTCTTGCCCATTTTACGGTTTTTGGCTTCAAATCTAACAAATATCGTGGTTCAGAACAAGTTCAACCAAAAAAATGCATCACTCAAAGATATGTTGAAATCAATTGCTCAGGTCATTCTTAAATTATTTCATTGAGTCACTGTGCTTTCACCATAACTCCTGAAATATTTTTATGCATTGACGATAATTTTGGGGGATGTCACGCAGCTCGAGTTCCCTTGACAAATTGACGAATTGGAATTCGAGTCCGTCGCTCGCAGTCACCGCCGCCGCCAACTGGCGTATCAAGGCAACAGGAACAATTACCTACTCACCCTTGCACTGCCTTCTTCCATTCGCCGCACTGTACCTTGCATTTCCCTCTACTTAGTTATATTCTCCCCACTTAGATATATTTGTTCCTGACAAGGTATTGTATAAGTACGTAGTAATTGTCGAATGAATCCCCTGCGCGTTTGCGAGGGTCTTCTGCTAATTCCCGAGTAAAGGCCGCGGCTACCTTTATTTCAACAGAACTTTGGGTCACGCATCACACCCCTTGACGAATTGATTTTAATAATACAGTATGGTTGAAATCAGTCATTTATCCCAAATGCCCTTGGATACCATTTTTAGGTTCGTCGAGCCAACAAGGATGCTAGTAACTTTTCGTTACTGCCACAACGGTGTGTGCTATCTCCACTTCCTCTTATCCAAACTCCTCTGTGCTATCTGACGTCCCCTGTTTAACCACCATCCCCTGTTAAAACCGAACACAATGTGCTATCTTGCACGACTTTATTTTAAATAGACCCAGTGACTGTATTGAGAGCCAACAAACAACCAGGTATACGTACCTGCAGTGACCACTATGCTTTGCGCAAAACCGTGCAAAACTTCTATCTGGAGTCGGGTGGGGGTTTCCACTGTTCAGTATTATTATCCTCGATCCTTCTGTTCAGTGTGTGATTCCACGAGTGGCTGACGAACCGCTTCGCGGCCCGCCATCCACTACTTAAAGATGGATGAAGTGAAATAATAAGCGGTTCCACGGGGGTTTCAGGTATCAGATCAACTTCTGGGGTGTGCTTTCAGATGTGCCCTGGTCGAGCGGTCTCTACCGGGGAATCCAGGGGGATTTGTGAGTTTATTTGAAGGAGAAGTGGGAGTGGCAGATTGCGGCATGCATCCGAATACCCAAGCCGCGTGCAGCTCGTCGGGTCGCCGGCACCGAGTATGCTCCTCTTTTTATAAAATTAAGCATGTTTGAAAGTCTTGGCTTCACCTAATCTGCAGAGTTCTTTTAGAGCGAATCTAAAGCGATTCGGGATAAGTTGACCAATAGTCGGTGAAGAATAAATAAGTTATTCCGTAATTTAGGGCAAGTCTCGGCCAGCGGTTCCGACGAGCGGAGAGCTTGATTGCGGAGTTTAAAAAGTTTCAGACGTGCGTAATTTTATAAAGGGAGTAAGTCCATAATATTTTCTCTTAAGATTTCAACGGGACCTCCATATTTGATTCGTTTCAAGCCACATCTTATCTTTGGGAGAGCCGACTTATGCTGTGCCTTGACCACTATCATAATTCACACGCATTCACAGCGACAAAAATCACACTGTCAGCCACCTCATCCCGAACGACCATGCAAGGGATACAGTCTCTTCCATCGGAACTCATCTGCGTCATTTTCTTCTTCACCTCCTTTCCCGTCGATCGGACACCCACTGCGCTACCCAGATTACCCTCAGTGCACACCTTAACACGCGTCTGCAGATTTTGGCGCAATGTAGCGCAGGGCCTCCCGGAGCTGTGGACCGAGATTCGTCTCTTGAACTGCCGCCCCGGTCACTCTGAGATGCTAGACGAACATATTAGAAGATCCGGGAACTTGCGGTTGGATATCCTGTTGGATATCCCCTTCAACGTTGCAGGAAACCAATTCCTTGATTTTATGGGTATTGTCCTGAAGATTTGGCTGGCACCACATCGCTGGCGGAGCCTTTGTATTATTACTACAGCAGAAAACTTATCGGCCATCCAGAACAGTGTTGGGCGCAAGACTCCACGGTGGCTAGAGTCCCTCGAACTGCGCGTCAGCAGAAGTGAATCCTATTCGTATAGCCAACCGAGCCTTCCTTTTGCTTCGATGCCCAGTCTGAAATCACTCGTCCTCCGCGGCGTTTCTCTAAAAATCCCCGGGGTTTCCTCGTTGGTTGATCACCTGGAGAATCTGGATCTCTTTGCGACTTCCCCCGCACTCGTTATGCAGCTCGCTGAGCATTTCGACGCCTCTTCACGGCGAACAGAGGCGATCTCATGTCTCCGCCATCTTTCCCTCCGCTCCACTCCTCCGCAGCTCCATTTGTCGAGTGCTGCATTTAAATCATACATTTCCTCGCTTACGACTCTCACCCTCGGACATTTCCATCATCAGGATCTACAGTCCTTCTGCCGTCTCCTCTGCACCCCATTGCTCGAAGAACTTGCCTTAACCAACTTGAGTCGCATGTGCTGGGACAGCTTCGCGACGTCGCTGAGCGATGAGAGCCTCGAGTTCCCCGCCCTCCGCACCCTCAAATTGTCATTCATTTCCGAATGCACGATGCATAGGCAATTCGCCACCGCATTCCCCGCGCTGGAACACCTCAGTCTTCTCCACGTCGACTGCAGCCCGTTCCTGTCAGCGTTATCGCAGCGCGATTCAATTCTTTGGCCGCATCTCCGCAGCTTGACTCTCGATAATGCCGATTACCGTACGCTGCGCCTGATGGTGGAGGCAAGGATTGCCTTGAGGTGCCCTCTAGTCGCTTTGGAGGTCGACTCTCCGCGAGTGGCGATTGCTAGCACGCTGCAGTGGCTACAAAATCATGTGAAGACGTTCAAGCGGAATCGTGCGGCATGAGATCTGGAGGATATCAATGTTAATGCGGGGATTGGATACCAG